TATTATTATTCTATTCTATTCTATTATTATTCTATTCTATTCTATTCTATTCTATTATTATTCTATTCTATTCTATTCTATTCTAGTCTAGTCTAGTCTAGTCTAGTCTAGTCCATTCCATCCCATTCTATTCTATTCTATTCTATTCTATTCTATTCTATTCTATTCTATTCAATGCACACAATTGATCAGAATTAACTCCAGCCTATTGGTTTGGCCCTTCACAACAGTCTCAGTGTCTCATGTAGCCCCCCCCTTGGGAAAAATTAACAGCCCACCCCTGCTTTAGACTCTGGCTGGGCACTAGTAAGTTGGCGATCAATCTCCTTCTCCAGATGCAGCCTCCAAGCACGCAACTCAAGCCTTTTTTGACTGCTTGCGAGCCGAAGTGGCGCGATTCAACATTGAAGTGACCGTTGTGTGTCCCGGCTACATCCAGACGAACCTTTCGCTCAATGCCGTCACCTCAGACGGATCCCAGTACGGAGGTGAGGACCGGTTCTTCTCTCAGGCCGCCACTATCTGCTAATCGGGTGTTTGTGTATTCCAGTAGTCTTCCAACTTGACCCTTTTATGACTTGTGGACTTCAGCTCCCAGAATTCCTCAGCCAGGCACGCTGGCTGAGGAACTCTGGGAGCTGAAGTCCACAAGTCATAAAAGGGCCAGGTTGGAAGCCCCCTGGTGTGTTCATTTGTCGAGGCCCTCAGGCTCCACAATTCAGTTGTACAAGCCCACTGAACCGAAGAGACGGTACTGAGATGCTGAATTGGCTACGGTAAGGGAGGCGGTCCCCAGCTGTTGGGGACTGCTGGGCCCATCTGGAATTTTGCAGCAACGTTATGGGCACTGCTGAAAATAGCTGCCGTGGCAGATAGGGCCAGTCGTGAAAGTGTATTTAGCAGCCATCACACCCCCCCCCCGCCCCCAAAGGGGCCATTGAGCTACCCATGTCTAAATCTAAGACTGCATCTGGGGTCTTTCTAAGCCTTGGGCATTGCTGGCAGTGCAGATCGGTTTTGAGGCTGCTGTCCTTTTGCTTTGCAGAACAGCTGATTCCTTTATCATTAAGGGAATAAAAATGTCACTGGGCAGAGAATTTGGAGGTGTAAAGCAGGGGTAATAATAATAATAAATAAATAATAAATAATAATAAATAAATAATAATAATAATAATAATAATAATAATAATAATAATAATAATAATAATAATAATAATAATAATAATAATAATAATAATAATAAAGTTGGAAGGAACCTTGGAGGTCATCGAGTCCAACCCCCTGCTCAGGCAGGAAACCCTATACCATTTCGGACAAATGGCTGTCCAGTCTCTTCTTCAAAACTTCCAGTGTTGGAGCATTCACCGCTTCTGGAGGCAGGTTGTTCCACTGGTTCATTGTTCTGACTGTCAGGAAATTCCTCCTTAGTTCTAGGTTGCTTCTCTCCTTGATCAGTTTCCACCCGTTGCTTCTTGTCCTGCCTTCAGGTGCTTTGGAGAATAGCTTGACTCCCTCTTCTTTATGGCAGCCCCTGAGATATTGGAACACTGCTATCATGTCTCCCCTCGTCCTTCTCTTCGTTAAACTAGACATACCCAGTTCCAGCAGCCTTTCCTTATATGTTTTAGCCTCCAGTCCCCTGATCATCTTTGTTGCCTGCCCTTTTATGACTTGTGGACTTCAACTCCCAGCATTCCTCAGCCAGCGTGCCTGGCTGAGGAATGCTGGGAGTTGGAAGTTTACAAGCAGGGGTGTTCAAACTTGTGGACTTCGTCATAAAAAGGCCACGTTTGAAGACCCCTGGTCCAAAGACCTAGCCTTATCCATGAGCCTAGCCCCCCCCCCCGGTTCCTAACAATGCCGGCTTGCTTTCTGTACGATGCAGTGATGGACAAGACCACCAGTGAAGGCAAGGCGGCGGCTGACGTGGCTCGGCTGGTCCTGGACGCCGTGGGGGAGAAGCAGAAGGAAGTCCTGGTGGTGCCCGGTTTCCTGCCCGCCCTGGCGGTCTACCTCCGGCCCCTCTGCCCCGCCCTCTTCTTCACTCTCATGGCCAGGAGAGCTGGCAAGGACAAGAAGGAGAAGGAATCCTAGCCCTGCCTGGACGCCGCCGTGTCAGAGGGGGGCTGAAGCTGGACCGGGGGAGAACGGTGGGAGTGTTTTAATTTCACCCTTCGTTGCACTAAAAGGCGGGTTTTGTCTGGGGGCAACAAACATCACAACGCAAAGTCTTCGGGCAATGCAAAGCATGTGTTTTATGTCTGTGTGTGTCTGTATATATATGTATACACACATACACACACATATATATATGACGTGAATTTGCTAGGATTAACATTCTATCTATCTATCATCTATCTATCTATCTATCTATCTATCTATCTATCTATCTATCTATCTATCTATCTATCTATCTATCTATCTATCTATCTATCTATCTATCTATCTATCATCTATCTGCTTTTTCTTTAGTGCACCCTGTCGGCCCAAATATGGGAGAGAGAAGTCTTTATATATATATGTATGTATGTATGTATACACACATATGTACACATATATACATACACACAAATATGTCACGTGAATTTGCTAGGGTTAACATCTCTATCTCTATCTTCAAACACATCTCAAATATACAATTATACAGTATATATTTATATTACATATTTTTATATAATTATATATTATGTAATGCAAGAGATTAATCCTAGCAAATTCACGTCAGATGCAGGGAATGGAAGCCCTGTGGCCGACATGCTTCCCCCTCAGCGTGCCATTAATACCTCAATATGTCGAGTTCTTTTTCTCACCTGCATCTCAAGCTGTATTTCACGCTTTAAACAGGAGAAGGGAAAAACATTAGTTGACCCTCGTAGGTATTAAAATACTCCAAGCTAAAGTAAATGGCATGGATTTTTATTTTTATTTTTTGCATTTTCTACTCTTAAGCTTAGCCGTTTTCGACAGCCAAGCCTCCAAATCAAGTTGGCCATCCCGAAAATGCCAATTATTTCAATGTTAAATCCTTCCCATCGCCCATCTGCCGCTTTTCTCTGCTCCTCAGCAAGATGATCCTGACCCCTTTTTTTAACATTTGCTTCTCACATTCTGGGGAAAATAGGTTTAGGGCTATAAATAGCAGA